ATGAAGCGAAGCAAGTACCAGAAGATGAAGGACCTACAAGCGCCTGTTTTAAGCTACCCCAGAGTCAGGTACAGTTAGACACCGATAACGTATACGCAGAGTTCAGGTGATGCTGCGTCACTTTGGAGGTAACATGTCTAGGTCCAGGAGTGTGACGATATGGCCTAACCCGGATTTGCAGATACTCCTTCCGTCTCAGGCCGTTAACGTGAGACCTGGAATGTCACGTCGGTGGCTTTCACTAGTAGCCCCGTCCGACGGGGACCCTACGATATGAATAAATTTGGAGTCATTGCATGTGACGCCGGTGCCGGCCCAGCTGAGCGAGTCTAATCCGTGCAAAGATAATAGCGCTACAGTATCCAGAGAGTCCTGTTTGAGATGCACTGCAGTTAGCTGTTAAAATCGAGTCAAAATGAAGCGCGTCAAGAACCGCGGAGTCTTAATCTAATCTGCTTCCGCGGATAGACACATGCCGGGCACGTGCCGCGTAGATAAGAAGCGTCACAGCCGAGATCGCATTTTACAACAGAACCGCCATGGGCCTCAAGGCAATTGTTTCCACGCAACCTTGACTTGATATATATACCACCGCCGTTCTCTACAATTATCTTTATTGTTCTCCCTCCTTCACACACTCTCTTCATGACGGAATACGACTTTTCACCAGAGGCTGCTGAGCGCTACCAGGCGACTATGCGCCGTATCTCGCGGTGGGTCGATGATGCTGAGGCCCACGCTTGCGAGTTCAAGTCGCCTTTTGTTCCACGTTCGGATGTTGGAGATGACGATGTTCCACCTCAGCCGGTGCTCACCCGGGGTATGAGCCATCGAGTACCTACTCCGTTGTACGCTCCAGTGCCGGGCCCCATGCCGCCACACAGCCATGGTCCTGCGCCGCCTCCTCGTCGTCCCCAGCCAGTCCCACTGCACGGCCCTGCTCCTCCCCCGTCTCAATCGCGCCACACACATTCTCCTACTCGTCATTCCTCGACTCGCCATTCGTCCTCTCATCATTCAAAACACCGCTCCGGCTCGACGTTCTACATCTCGCCTACACCTACGCCGCCTCCAGTGCCTTATTATGCAAGCTATCCTAATAACAACCCGTATTACCAAGCACAGCCGTCCCCGTACGCTCCTCCTCCACCACGACCGCAGTACTACCGCAGCGGCAATGTAGCCTACGCCCCCCCACCGGGAGGATACGTAGTAATCCCTCAAAAAGGTCGTTCTTCAAAACTCGTAGTGAGTATTCTCCTTCTCGTGTATCCCTGAGATCTGACGTTTATTCGAGTAGTCTTCTGTCCAACCGGTGGTGTTTTCCACATCTTCATCGACGGATTCAGAACCGCTACCGCAACGTCAGCCTCAGTCAGGTTCGTTCCTGCAGAAGGTGTTTCCCTTTACCCACGGTCGGCGTGATAGTCCTGTGCCCGCTGCCTATGATCATCAGCGTGAACACCGCCCGCATCATCATCATCACCATCACCATCATCGGCATAGTGCATAACGTCTCTTTCTTATTCTTGGGTTTCGCATCGATACTATATAAACTGGACGCTTCGTATAGTATTATATATATCTTATAGGTAATGCGTACTGGGTGTTCATTCGTTATTCAGGGATTGTAATAATATCCACCACGTCCCGGCGTCGGGGGGCGTAGGAGCTTGGCGTCGTTCTAGTCCCCGTCGATTGCCAATTATCTTCACCTGGGCGCGTCGCATGCAGTTCAGAGGCGAACCCGCTTTCCTCCGACTCCCGCTAGCATTACCCAAGTGGTGGCCGAATTTAGATTACTTGGCGCTATCGTTAGAGCGTAATCGGCTTCAGGACGCGCGCACATTCGTTTACACACGGACTTTGTTCAAGGTTGGCGCTAGAATGGCTATTGATAATTGTACATATACACGCGCTCATTGTACATAACATTTTGGATATCAGAGTAAGAAGTATTGGTGGTACTAATGGGGTTTCGTTAGACCCGAGTGATCAGAAATGCGGGGAAGGGTACCACGTACCAATTTAGATGAGTGGGGGGAACCGGTCCTTGGGATGCGGGATGAATAAATAATTGACCGGGGCATGGGTTGGAAGGTGTGATGTGGTGTGATTTTTTGGAATAAATGAAAAATGGATATGGAAAGCCCTGAAAGAAGATCCTCGGTTAGCAAGAGCGCGAGCAACTGCGAGATAGGCGACGAACTTTCTAGCGGTGCTTCTTGCCTTCGCCGGTAGCAATCAGAACGACGGCCCAGATGCTGCGCGTTATCTCAGACATGGATGCGGTGAAAGCTACGTAGGCGTCAGCAGCTGCCGGGGAAATAACGAAAACTGGTGCTCGTACTTGAAAAGTGGGAGGAGTATACAGGGTAGTTGTTTGATGCTCTCCCTCGTCGTTACACGGACTCCTTATATACCCATAGGATGGAACGACCGAGAATCGAGGGCTCGAGCTCATCGTAATGCGAGCAGCGGTTTCGCAATTCTAGAGCGTACGAAGGGGTCAAGTGGACAAGTGGGTGCGTCGGGGGGGAACGGAGGATGGGTCTAGACTGCAGAAATCGCTATGGATGTGGAGGGATACCGGAAGCGTAGAGTTGTTGGCCGACTAGCTCAGCTGGTTAGAGCGTCGTGCTAATATTTACTACATCGACATATTACGCGAAGGTCTTGGGTTCGATCCCCACGTTGGCCATGCATCTTGAAAGAGTAGAATTTTTGTATCAAATTCGTTTATCCCCGATGCTCAACGTCCCCATGGCTTTGCCGCTTTATGCGCCAGGTCCGCTAGCCTCGAGGTTGAACGTTTTAAATTTGTCAGGGTGTACCTCAGATGGTTGCCACCCCCAGGTTGACAATGCACGAAAAGATTCTTCTATACAAATGAAAGTTTCTGCGCCTGTAAGTCCCTTGGCCTTGATTCCTTTATGTATTAAGAAGCAGGTCTCATCATCAAACCGTTCTCGGGGAACCTATCTCGTTTACATGCTGGTCATTTGGGTGTATGCCTACTTAAGTATTTTCTGCAGGATAACCATGTTTGTGTACGGGCGATGCATTTACTCATCAGCTTCACCTTCTTGAAATAAAACCGAGGGCAAACAGTGGAGAGTGTAGACCGCCATGCCCTGGGTTCGATCCCGGCATCGACAGTGGATTAATTTGTATTCAGCGACTCGAGACCCTTTTTCTCGTTCTTACCAATGCCTCGCAGTAAAAGCCTTTCAAGCTGGTCCGACTGTGAGAAAATTCAGGACATTTGCATGGATGAGTGCTCAAAATCGAGGCTTTATCAAGGAAGTAAACACTTCTGGATAGGCACGACTTACTTAGATGTTACCGCAAAACTAGCTGGGTTCGATCCCTACTTTAGTCTATCAGAGTAGCAAGTCCTTCTTTTGGCTCTTATGCTGAGTTCGTCGCTGCAGAATTCTTTCCCCTTGCTCTCTTTGGGGGCCCTGTAATTGCTAGGTTCGATCCATTCAGTATACGCATTCTTATATCAACCCTGGACTCCAGAGTAAAACCTGTCAGTTGCGGATTCAATCACGAGTGTCAGTCGCCGATAGCGAGTTCTTTTCCACCGTGTTTTCGCGACCTTGTACCTGTTTCGATGATGAGACCGAGAACTATGTGAGTTCTCAGGACAGAACAAAGGTCCGTCGACTGGTCGATTCGGTTAGGTGTCATGCTCAAGGTTCAATCCCGGCATTGGCAATACGAGATCAAAGAGCGCTTTCTTTTGAACAGGAGACCCCGTTTGCTTTTGCTTACATCTCAGGCCAAGGCGGTACTTGAACGTAGTCTTTTCAGTGGATAGGCTGGTTGCGTAGTATAAAGTGTCAAGGATCAGCACGATACTCCAAACGTTTTTGAACTCACGTTGAACAGCTTCGATGCTCCAGCATGTTCGAAGTGATGTGTCTATCGCTTTGTGAATGCGAATACCCGACCGACCAGCCCAGGAGGTTGGGTATCATAAGATGGGTTCGACCCCCGTCGGCCGTATGAGATGCCGAGCCGTTTGGCCATTTTTACCGGAGATTTTCGTTTTTTCCTCTGACGCATATCAGCCTAGGTGACCGGCGACCGGCGAAGGCTTTCACTCATGACATGCCCTTCTTGACGGAGAATCAAATCCCCTGGAATTTGACGTATCTTTCCCTTTAAGTACCCATTCGTAGTGACAACTACTGAGAAGGACATTCGACGATAAATAATAAACTTGACGTCGTTTGGATGGATACGAAGTCGATATCTCGCGTTCGATGGTTCATCCCATCGGCGATTTCGTTCGGCGAAGCATAGAGCGCTTCATTGTCAGCGGATTAGCTCAGTAGGCTGGGTGTTAACATTATCTTGGGTTCGATCCCCACGTTGGCCACTACAGGAAGCAGCTAGCAATACATATGCTTTTAATATTTACACAGAATCCTCAGGACTGATAACATCCGATTCATGTTTATTTCTGAGGCGGCTATCCAATAGCTTTTCTCTGCACAGTGACAGCGGTGGAAATTTTAGACCTGGGGATGTATCAATGCTAGTGTGGTGGTCGACACTCTCTGTTGATCAAGGTTGCTACGAGTAACGGGCAGGTTCGGCCGGTTTCTGTGCTTTCTACTTTCAATGCACCTTGGCTGTCTGTTTGAGGCGGAATAGGAGCGGCGTCTCGCAAAGTTCCCAGAGACGGAGGACCGTTAGGTAGTCAGTGAGAGAATGAACCATTCTATTTGCATACTCTTTCGTGTAATGACTGTGTTTGTCAGGTGTAGTGCTAAGGGTTCGGTCCCGGCATTGCCAACTACTGAGAGACCCTATTTCCTTTTTACCAGGGTGAAGGTTCCCTTTATATGTGACTTGTGAGCTACCGTTTCTATCGATGCTCTCCTGGAGGCACCTGCCGTTCCTAGCTCCAAACACTCAACTCCTCCGGAAGATGCATCTTCATAAGAGCGCTGCATCTTACAGTGGATGTATAAAGCACTGATGTTGGTCGACTAGTTGACCGGTTAAAAGCTTTGTGCTAATAGAAATTCTGCACGTTGCTGATATTAACACGAAGGTATTGGGTTCGACCCCCAAGTTGGCCATAGATGTCGTGCAAGGCATTTCTTTGCTGCTTTTTTCCAGGGCTTCTGTTTGAGATCGGTTTTGTATGGCGGTTTCGGGCAATGGCGTTAAGCTCTTATTCATGAAGTGAGCTAAACCGGAAGATATATCGTTCCCTCCTGGCGACATAACTTGAAACCCATATTTAATTTGATAAGTAGAACAATGTACATTCGTCGGTGACCGAAGTGGTATAATACATAAGACGTCTGTCAAGATGTACCATAAATAATAAACTTATCTTATGTCCACGGAAGAAGAAAAAATAAGAATAATCAGAACACTTAAGGATAAGTTATGTTCACAGTTGGTCGGAGGTGAGATTCCCGTAAATCGGACAGAGTTGGTCCCAGGCAGCTGTCAAATTTGTTTCTCAGTATCTCTCATGGTCGGAGACGAAGAAAAAATGCTTCGTACTCGGTGGGTTTTGCGTCTGGATCGTGGCGACATCCTCGGCGAAAACGACAGCGAGTCCGCTAGGAAAGGGATATTAGCACGGGAAATAACCGGAAATGAATGAGGACTCACATTTCCAGATGCCAGTCGATATGGCTGACGCAGTATTGTTAGCATTCGTAGTATCTTTCAGTCCGATGTAAGATATTCACCAGTGCAAGAACCAGGGTCCGGCGTTGTCCGTTGTGAAACGGAAAGTAACGTTGTCAGTGCCAGAACCTGTCGAGACGACGTCACGACGGACCTGGGGAGTATAGTTAGTTATCACACACCGTAGAAGGAAGTGAGGAGGACTTACTGGGTTCGCGTAGTTGTACTCGGTGCTCCCTGCGCTTCGTACGACGTCAAAGTGTGCTAGAGGAGTGTTCATTACCAGGTATGCGAACAAGTAGAGAAGCATCTTACACCGTGAAGATGGAACGGGTGCTGGCACGAAAACGTCAGCCTGGGAGTGCGTCACGAAAAAGAACGATACGTACAGGTCCACCGACTGCCAAGGCCGGAGCGCTTATCTCGATGACCTTATTCGGTGGGAGAGTATAAACGCTCCCAGAAGGAAGCAGGTTCTGCGCCGAGTTGGCTCCGCTCAAGATCTGCAAGAGCACTGGTGCGGTGGGCGGGATAAAGGACGCGCCATTGACTGTGAATCTGAAGTTGGTGATATCAAACGCGAGGGCTAGGTAAGCGTGATGTCCGCCCCGCCAGCTTGTGGCAACCCAGGAGCACCGGGGTTCTCGAGAGGGTGGAGGTTGGTCTCAAGGAGTGGTATAACACTCGTCGTCTGGTTACTCGTTGGGTCTCCTGAAGCTGCCCCGACGTAACGCACCACACCCGAGTTGATCCCTCCCTGGAAACCCTGCGTTCCGAGGTTCGGGCTCGCGCGCATCCAGTAGTTCCCGATCCTTTGATTTGCGTTGAGGATGAGGGAGTACCGCTGCCCGGCGAAGATCTGAACGGAGTCGACGATGAGAGGCTGGGTGTTGACGCCATCGGCTTCGATGACGGTGAGGTTGTGGGAGTCGATGGAGAATACCCAGTTCGGGTCGCAGGAGGCGGCTACGAGGCGGAGGCGGTAGCGTAGTCCGCGGACGACGTTGAGTTGGAAGAGGTCGGAGGTCGGCTGGATTGATGGTCAGAACGGAGGGTGTGAGAAGGAGATGGGAAGTACTCACGCCACCTGCGTAACGTCCTTTACCTATTTTGAAATTAGGACTTTAGGGTTGATATGATGAGTTTATTCTGACGTACCGTTGATCAGGGTAGCATCGAAGACGGGTACTGGTCCCGCTGCGAGGGCCGGTGTGTGGTACCTAGTGGTGTTTCATCATGAGAACTGTACGTTTGACAGTCGGCAGAAGAGAGGTATTCACCAGTCTGAAAGGGTGATCACCGTTGCCTCTAGAATACGTGTCAAAAGGCGAAAGATCGGAAGGGAAAATTTCTCATACCGGTGTCGATATCGTAACGCAATCGGTGAGGATCGAGTGGGTCGTAAACGACCATAGGTCCCCGTAGACCATCACAATATTGTGTAGCTGCGAATTTTGTGTCACCGTTCCGAACATAAGACGACGCAAAGGAGGAGCGCGTACAGAGATGAGAGTGATACCAAAATGTCCCCGCCTGATCAGGAACTGTGAAGTCGTATAGGAACGAGTGGTTCTAGACAGGATCAGCGTCTGAAGAGTGGAAATGGAGGATTTTCACTCACGGCAGCGATGGGGCATTGGTTAACGAAACTAGGCCTGTGGTCGTGAGAGCAAGTGAGATGCGACACGTTAGATGTCTATTATATACTCACCCATCAGCCCAGGAGGAACCCTTCTGAAACAGACCATGCCAGTGCTATTATTACGGTCGTCAGAGAAACTAGACAGCACATCAAAACGAAGAGACTAATTACGATACTGGTGCTTCTCAACATCGTATTGTCCGTCAATTTATCAATGACGTTGATCCTAAACCTGTCGCCCTGGAAGAAAAAAAAAATGAATGAGAGCAGAACGACTTTGTTCAGTGAGGGTGTATACCTTGTTTCCTTGGACGAGCGGGCCTGGAAAGGTTCCACCAGCAAGAGTAGCGCTGAAATGGGGTTATCAAGAGTAAACGGGCAGAGTGAGAGCGGCGCGTACGCTCTAGTGAAACCGTCAGGCGCAATATTTGCATTGACGATTTGCATGTTAGCTACGGGACCGATGGCAGCGTACGTCCCAGATAACAAGCCGGAAACGAGGAGAAGAGTGGTGGAAATCATCGTTCTCGCTGATAGAGAAGAGGTGATCATCCATTCCGTCCTTTATACCTCTGGGTGGTCAACAAAATGTCTCACTCGTCCGACATCGCGGCAATGTAATTGAATCTGATACGAGGGTCTGGCAGCTCTAGACTAACATAAGTGTATATCCTGACAATTACGAGAGACGTGTTCGTACCTTGGGTATGTATAGAGCCAGGGGTAAGAAGGCGCTCCCATGATGCTGATTGACAATGCTAGCGGCCTCGGGAACCTGGAGGAATTTGGATGTTCAATTAGAGATCAAGGAGGATGCGGATTTGTTACCTTCACGTATTTCAACGAATACATCTTGCTGTTCAATACTGGGTCAAATCTCTGAAATTGTGCTGGCCGACGTGGTAAGTAGAGAGCCAGGAATGAAACAGGAATAAAATTCTCTTACTTTGATAGTTTAATGGTGCCCCTCTACCGGTGACCGCGCGGGAGTCCTCCCATCATCATTGGATCCCCGAGAGATGGTCATTCATTTCATACCAAGTTACTAGTCTTACCGCCAGTCCAGGAACTTGACCTACAGGTGTCTAGAGTTTCTTCGTGTCGGTTTACCATCCGCGTTCTTTGATGTACTGGCCGGCCTTCGCTATAAGCACACCACGACGGCTTATACCCGCCGCTAGCCCAAACATTTGCTCGTTTGCTACAGATGAAACCTGGAGAAGTAGGGTATCTGATGCCGGCCCTGCGCGCGATGCGGAGCATAATTAATCGTAAATGTCAAGTCAATGTTTTCTCAAGCATAGGGTATTCCAAATCTAAGCGCTATTTTTTGTTGTTGAAACTTGAGACGTCCCGGTACTGAGATGCTGAAGGTCAAAGCAAGGGCAGGATATGTCCGGCGACTGAAAAGTGGCGTGCGACATTGATGCGAACATCGGCACCGTGGCTTAGGTTTGAATCGGACTTAAATCGGACGTTGAATTATCCCGACCTCGTAGCCGACGGCACCATGCTGAACAAGTGAAGCGCTGAAGGCTCCATTGAGGCTCGTTGTCTGTCACTGAAAATATCCCAAAGATCTGGATTCTTCCATTATTTTTAACTCTGCTCATCATCTTCAGTCTCTTGCGATTGGTCTGTTCCGTTTATGATTGTTCGTTGGCTCATTCCAATGGTTTATCTGCTTGTCTGTCTAGCTATGAATCTCATTCCAGGGCGCTGCTATCTCTCCCTTCCGTTGGTCCAATGACCATACTACATGCTTCTGGCCAACTGCTAGCCTGTCCGACTTTCGTCAAACTCTCGCCCTGGATCATAGATGATAATAAGTACCAGGTTTTCCGGACCCATGCATGCATATTCCCGGATAAAATGACCTAGAAAGCTCCAATGTTCTAGTACCAACGATGCGCTTTGCCAAGAATACGGGCTCTCCAAAGACGGGCGTCTTTCTCATCACGGGAATTGATTGCAATAGGTAAACCCTGTGCCCAGATCAAATACTCCTATCACAGCCACGACTATTGGTATTCTTCCTACCTTCAACAAGTACGCATCATTCGAGCCGTGTTACAATTCTAGAGCCCTAACGTTCGCAGAATATAGCTCAGTGATCATCAATCATGTCAGACGGGAATCAAGAGGCTCCGAATGGCTCCGGAATCCATTCTCTGCCTAACGAAATGCTCTTGAAGATATTCAAGACTACATCCAACCTTCCGCTGTCTCCTCCCAGCTCCCGTCCCCACCTTCTCACCCTCTGTGGTATTAGTCGCCACTGGAGGAGTCTGTGTCTCGGACGATCCAGAGTTTTGGACCATCATTGACATACCTTTTCACCAAGCGCGCGTCCAGGATCCAGTCGAATGGGCATCAGTCCGACTCGAGCGGTCGAAAGCGTGCCTTTTCGATGTTGTATTGAAGCTTTCGTCACACAAGATGCGACAACCGGGGAATCTACGCGCCAGGTCGTGCAACTCGTGGCTAATCACGTTGGTCGCCTTCGTCGATTATCTGTATCCGCGCCATCACTGAGCTATGGAGGTATCGATTTCCTCTCCCCCCTCAAGCCTATCTTGGCTCCGACTCTCACAGATCTAGAGATCTTTCTCTATGATTACAAAACATTCGCTTCCGAGCTCACGACGAACGGCAGGTACAATCTTTTCATGCACGGTGTCCCCCGGCTATCTCACCAGCGACTCCTTGGAACCAATCCCCTTTGCCCGCTTGCGCACCTGAGTTCGCTTGACATGTACCACGTGTCGATGACCCCATCGACGTGCAAAATTC